GGATGTGGGTGTGGATGTGGGCGTGAGTGTGGGTGTGGGCGTGAGTGTGGGTGTGGATGTGGGTGTGGGTGTGGGGTGTGGATGTGCCAAGGTACCACGATCGATTTCAACCTTGCTTAAGGGTCTTATTAAATGGCTTAAACCAATCTGGATTTGAAAGTAAACCCAAATTAGCTAACGAGGGTGTGGGTGTGGGTGTGTATAGTTACCACAATACAAATTGTGTTTCAATAATACTAAGAAATATTATCAAGTGGCTTGTATCTGTTGCAAGAATGATTCGAATTTGAGAAAAATTCAAATCAAAAACAAGATACATAGTAGAAATTCGAAGAAGAATTTCGATAAACACTTTGAAGGGTGTGTATAGTTATTACAATACAAATTGTATTTCAATAACACTATTAGAAAAAGTTTTCTTGAAGTGGATGGAATCGATTGAGAATGGTGCGTTTGAAAATGGTGAAAGTAAATTAAGGAAACTGTGTTGTAGTTGTAGTTAGAATAGCATGTGGTTGGTTTAATATGTTGTGTGTATGGATAGTGGTAAGATTATTGATTGTGGGCTTGTTATGTGAGAGTAGTTATTTGATGGGAGGTATTTGTGAAATGATTTGTTGTTTTCTTTGGAGAGTTGGACGATTGGATTGCGGAAGCTCAAATGGAAAGTCGGACTTGAAGAGGTTGTAGTTTAATAATGTTTAATTGAACTTAGGGAGGAGTATTGGTTGTTTGTGATGTGAAATTTTTAAGTAAGTATTATATCTGAATCGCCTGTTTCTAACTAAAGTATGGTATGGTTAATGCTGCTACGATTTGGAGTGTAATGGTTTCGAATCTGAAAGATCGGTATTCGGCGTAGTTTTTTCGGCATTATTATGACACAGTTGGTAGTGATGTTTGTGGCTTGGAGAGATTCGTTTTAGGAAGGAATAGATGTTTGTAAGTATATGGAAATGTATCGTACCGTGTTCTGTCGGAAGATTTGTGTTTATTGGAATGTTAAGTGTTCGCTTTGGCGTTTGTTGTATCGATAGTGTAGATGGGATGGAGATTGTTTATTGAGACTTAGATGGATTAATGGAAATGGCAAGCAGTTTTATGAAGTAGCAGTATGCGAAGTTGTTTGTTAGTGCTAGTAGTTGTAGTGTTTTATTAGGGATAATCTGGTAAGTTTTTGAAATATGTGAGTTCGTTTTGGAATGGACTGGTAAGTTTATCAGGAGGTGTTGATTTTTTTATTTGTGTTTCAGTGATTGTGTTTGTTTATTCTGGGTATGGTTTCCGGTGTGGTATTTTCGCAGTTCTGATAGCTAGTGCAGAGCTAGTGGAGATTGGCTTTTGCTGTACCGATTGATGTTTCGTTTCAGTCAAGTCGTTGTGTGGTAATCTATATCGACGTTGAGAGAACCTAGGTTGAGTTGTTGTGTATTTGGTAGTGATATGGCTTGATTTACGACGAGAACGTCATGGGTTTGTCCAGTTGAGTAGGATAGTAGTAAGTATGCGTGCAGGATTATACTTATCTAGAATGAAAGAATATATGAGTATGATATTAGAAGAAGTGCACAAATATATTTTATTAATCTAAGGTTAGCTATTTCGCACACAGATTACAAACACTATAGATTAACTATTATCTACGAGGTAAATAAAGTTGCTTATATTGATTAAATGTTATTTTATAATAGTAACCATTGTAGTTTTAGAACGTCACTGAGTTGATGTCGTGGTTTACATTGATGAATGATTCAAATTAACACACCAATATAGGTTATACGAAGGACCGTAACGTTTTTCAGCATCACCACCAAGTGGGCAAATCATATTCAATTTAGTTTCACCATGAATAATGAATAATGTTTCGATGATGTATCGTAATATTATTGAACAATCATCTGGTACTAAATCAATGTGAAAGAAAAACAGGTATAAATGACAATGGTGATGATGATGTGGTTGATAAAGATAGATTTACTTACAAACGGCAATGATTGCTATGTTATACAAATCTAATTTGATATAGGGCCGGTAATGAATGGAAGAAGTAACAAATCGTTCGAAAAATAGACGCTGTTGTTTTAGCTGTCGAAATGAGAAGGCATAGGGAGTTGGTGGTAATGGTACATTATCTAAATAATTGGCCACCCTACGATTGTCTACGGCTGTTGTTGCTATCACAGCATCCAGATTGGGATCTGTAGTAGAATTTCCTGGACGATTAGCAACATTTTCTGTTACTGCTTCATCCCAAGGTAGAGGAATAAAACACCAATACATAGGATTACAATCAAGAAATGAACGAAGTGCTTCTGGACAACGAGCTGAATGTTGATAGAGACGCATTTGATTAGCCATTTCTTTTCTACAACAATGAAAAAGAAAACAAAGAACATGTAGCATAATTGAAAGAACGATCGAATGTCTTTTATTACTCTCTCTCGTCAGGATCGATTTGTGATCCTCGAAATAGAGGACTACCAGTTAATTGTTCACGTATAATTCGATTGCCATGTTCTCGATGATCTGTATATTATAAGAAAATGAAGAAGAGAAATAAAGGCATGCTCTTGATTAGCGTAAGAAAATTTATATTTACAAGCCATAACATCAGCCAATGTTTTTGCTGTTGAATCAATATAATCATAATCACCACATGGAGATGTCATGGCATAAATTATATTCGATGTAGTACATGTCTAAATTTTAGTCATAGCCGATCTATATAAAATTCAATATTTAAGGATAACGTACTGCTGGACAATTGAGATAGGTAGTATAACCATTGAGAAATCGATGCATTGAACTTGAAGCAAAATTAACAATTGGCCATGGTTGACTTTTCTTGTAAGTATTTAATGGAAGACAACATTGACAAAAAAGATTATCACATGGAACCAATGAATATCTTGCTTGAGGTTCATCTCTTCCACAAAATAGACCGTCTATATTAGATAGAGGTTGAGCCCCTCGAAACGAACAAGTTTTCATATAGAATAAATCCACTAAAAAATATGAAACATATATGCATCATATTTATATATATATATCGATATGAAGACTAACCATCGATTTGTAAATAGAATTCCAATGCCATAGCCATTTGTTTCGAATTGATTGTTGGTTCTTTTAGAGCAACATCACTCTTACATAGAATATATCGTCGAAATGATTCATGGAATGCAAGAAGAGTATGACAGATGCTACGAAGTCGTTGCGCATTGAAAGTAATAATTGATTTGCCTACTTGTAATCGTGAAGCTAATTCATTAGCATCTTGTTCAGATAAACTAAATTCATCGGAATAATTGTACTTATTCATCAGCATCAGTGCATCGAAAGTATAGGATCCATGTTGACGTCGAGCGAGTTCATGATATGCAAGACGACTAACTAAAAGACAATGAAATGAAATAATTTATAATTAGGGTGTGGGTGTGGGTGTGTGGGTGTGTTACAAAATAGAGTGATTCAAAGCATCATACGACGCGTTTCGACTGGAGCTTGTCCCAGTTATTATCAGGTATGTTCTGAATCAAATACTACATGGATATATAATTTAGAAGATACATTTCAAAACCTATATATTGAAATAATACCAGGTGGAAGTCAGAAAAAGACTAACAGTAAGTAAATGTTTCAGAGGAATATGAAATAAAAATCATTCAGTCATAT